GGTGACTGTAACCTGTAGTGATGGCAACAGGTGGTGACTGTAACCTGTAGTAATGGCAACAGGTGTTGACTGTAACCTGTAGTGATGTCAACAGGTGGTGACTAACCTGTAGTGATGGCAACAGGTGGTGACTGTAACCTGTAGTGTTGGCAACAGGTGGTGACTGTAACCTGTAATGATGGCAACAGGTGGTGACTGTAACCTGTAGTGATGGCAACAGGTGGTGACTAACCTGTAGTGATGGCAACAGGTGGTGACTGTAACCTGTAGTGATGGCAAAAGGTGGTGACTGTAACCTGTAGTAATGGCAACAGGTGGTGACTGTAACCTGTAGTGATGGCAACAGGTGGTGACTGTAACCTTTAGTATTGGCAACAGGTGGTGACTGTAACCTGTAGTGATGGCAACAAGTGGTGACTAACCTGTAGTGATGGCAACAGGTGGTGACTAACCTGTAGTGATGGCAACAGGTAGTGACTGTAACCTGCAGTGATGGCAACAGGTGGTGATTGTAACCTGTAGTGATGGAAACAGGTGGTGACTGTAACCTGTAGTGTTGGCAACAGGTGGTGACTGTAACCTGTAGTGATGGCAACAAGTGGTGACTGTAACCTGTAGTGTTGGCAACAGGTGGTGACTGTAACCTGTAGTGATGGCAATAGGTGGTGACTGTAACCTGTAGTGATGGCAACAGGTGGGTGACTAACTGTAGTGATGGCAACAGGTGGTTGACTGTTAACACTGTAGTGATGGCAAAATGTGGTGACTGTAACCTGTAGTAATGGCAACAGGTGGTGACTGTAACCTGTAGTGATGGCAACAGGTGGTGACTGTAACCTGTAGTAATGGCAACAGGTGTTGACTGTAACCTGTAGTGATGTCAACAGGTGGTGACTAACCTGTAGTGATGGCAACAGGTGGTGACTGTAACCTGTAGTGTTGGCAACAGGTGGTGACTGTAACCTGTAATGATGGCAACAGGTGGTGACTGTAACCTGTAGTGATGGCAACAGGTGGTGACTAACCTGTAGTGATGGCAACAGGTGGTGACTGTAACCTGTAGTGATGGCAAAAGGTGGTGACTGTAACCTGTAGTAATGGCAACAGGTGGTGACTGTAACCTGTAGTGATGGCAACAGGTGGTGGACTGTAACCTTTAGTATTGGCAACAGGTGGTGACTGTAAACCTGTAGTGATGGCAACAAGTGGTGTGACTAACCTGTAGTGATGGCAAACAGGTGGTGACTAACCTGTAGTGATGGCAACAGGTAGTGACTGTAACCTGCAGTGATGGCAAACAGGTGGTGATTGTAACCTGTAGTGATGGAAACAGGTGGGTGACTGTAACCTGTAGTGATGACAACAGGTGGTGACTGTAACCTGTAGTAATGGCAACAGGTGGTGACTGTAACCTGTAGTGATGGCAACAGGTGGTGACTGTAACCTGTAGTAATGGCAACAGGTGGTGACTGTAACCTGTAGTGATGGCAACAGGTGGTGACTGTAACGTGTAGTGATGGCAACAGGTGGTGACTGTAATCTGTAGTGATGGCAACAGGTGGTGACTGTAACCTGTAGTAATGGCAACAGGTGGTGACTGTAACGTGTAGTGATGGCAACAGGTGGTGACTGTAACCTGTAGTAATGGCAACAGGTGGTGACTGTAACCTGTAGTGATGGCAACAGGTGGTGACTAACCTGTAGTGATGGCAACAGGTGGTGACTGTAGCCTGTAGTGATGTCAGCAGGTGGTGACTGTAAACTGTAGTGATGGCAACAGGTGGTGACTGTAACCTGTAGTGATGGCAACAGGTGGTGACTAACCTGTAGTGATGGCAACAGGTGGTGACTGTAACCTGTAGTGATGGCAACAGGTGGTGACTGTAATCTGTAGTGATGGCAACAGGTGGTGACTGTAGCCTGTAGTAATGGCAGCAGGTGGTGACTGTAACCTGTAGTGATGGCAACAGGTGGTGACTGTAACCTGTAGTGATGGCAACAGGTGGTGACTAACCTGTAGTAATGGCAACAGGTGGTGACTGTAACCTGTAGTAATGACAACAGGTGGTGACTGTAACCTGTAGTGATGGCAACAGGTGGTGACTGTAACCTGTAGTAATGGCAACAGGTGGTGACTGTAAACCTGTAGTGATGGCAACAGGTGGTGACTGTAACCTGTACTGATGGAAACAAGGTGGTGACTAACTGTAGTGATGGCAAACAGGTGGTGACTAACTGTAGTGATGGCAACAGGTGGTGACTGTAACCTGCAGTGATGGCAACAGGTGGTGATTGTAACCTGTGTGATGGAAACAGGTGGTGGCTGTAACCTGTAGTGATGGCAACAGGTGGTGACTGTAACCTGTAGTAATGGCAACAGGTGGTGACTGTAGCCTGTTGTGATGGCAACAGTGTGGACTGTAACTGTAGTAATGGCAACAGGTGGTGACTGATAACCTGTAGTGATGGCAACAGGTGGTGACTGTAACCTGTATAATGGCAACAGGCGGTGATTATAACCTGTAGTGATGGCAACAAGGTGGTGACTAACCTGTATTAATGGCAACAGGTGGTGACTAACCTGTATGATGGCAACAGGTGGTGACTTGGTAACCTGTAGTGATGGCAACAGGGGGTGACTGTAACCTGTATATGCAAACAGGTGGTGACTGTAACCCGTAGTGATGGCAACAGGTGGTGACTGTAACCCGTAGTGATGGCAACAGGTGGTGACTGTAACCTGTAGTGATGGCAACAGGTGGTGACTAACCTGTAGTGATGGCAACAGGTGGTGTTGGAAACAGACTATTCCTGAAATAGTGTCTGGAACAGGCGACTAAAACAACTGGTGATCGAAATAGGTGGTGACTGAAACAGATGATAGACACAGGTGGTGACTGAAACAGATGATAGACACAGGTGGTGACTGAAACAGATGATTAGGACACAGGTGGTGACTGAAACAGATGATAGACACAGGTGGTGACTGAAACAGATGATAGATACATGTGGTGGACTGAAACAGTGATAGACACAAGGTGGTGACTGAAACAGATGATTAGACACAGGTGGTGACTGAAACAGATGATAGACACAGGTGGTGACTGAAACAGATGATAGACACAGGTGGTGACTGAAACAGATGATAGACATAGGTGGTGACTGAAAACAGATGATAGACACAGGTGGTGACTGAAACAGATGATAGACACAGGTGGTGACTGAAACAGATGATAGACACAGGTGGTGACTGAAACAGATGATAGACACAGGTGGTGACTGAAACAGATGATAGACACAGGTGGTTGCTGAAAACAGATGATAGACACGTGGTGACTGAAACAGATGATTAGGACACAGGTGGTGACCTGAAAACAGATGATAGACACAGGGGTGACTGAAACAGATGATAGACACAGGTGGTGACTGAAACAGATGATAGTTACAGGTGGTGACTGAAAAGATGATAGAACAGGTGGTGACTGAAACAGTGATGAACATGTGGTGACTGAAACAGATGATAGACACAGGTGGGTGACTGAACAGATGATAGATACAGGTGGTGACTGAAACAGATGTTAGGACACGGTGATGGTGACTGAAACAGATGATAGATACGGTGGTTTGACCTGAAACAGATGATAGACACAGGTGGTGACTGAAACAGATGATAGATACAGGTGGTGACTGAAACAGATGATAGACACAGGTGGTGACTGAAACAGATGACAGATACAGGTGGTGACTGAAACAGATGATAGACACAGGTGGTGACTGAAACAGATGACAGATACAGGTGGTGACTGAAACAGATGACAGATACAGGTGGTGACTGAAACAGATGATAGACACAGGTGGTGACTGGAACAGATGAGACACAGGTGGTGACTGAAACAGATGACAGATACAGGTGGTGACTGAAACAGATGATATACACAGGTGGTGACTGAAACAGATAATTAGACACAGTTGGTGACTGAAACAGATAATTAGACACATTCGGTGACTGAAACAGATAATAGACACAGGTGGTGACTGAAACAGATGACTAGACACAGTTGGTGACTGAAACAGATGAGACACAGGTGGTGACTGAAACATGATAGACACAGGTGGTGACTGAAACAGATGATAGACACAGGTGGTGACTGTGAAACAGATGATAGACATAGGTGGTGACTGAAACAGATGATAGACACAGGTGGTGACTGAAACAGATGATAGACACAGTTGGTGACTGAAACAGATGATAGACACAGGTGGTGACTGAAACAGATGATAGACACAGGTGGTGACTGAAACAGATGATAGACACAGGTGGTGACTGAAACAGATGCTAGACACAGGTGGTGACTGAAACAGATGCTAGACACATGTGGTGACTGAAACAGATGCTAGAAACAGGTGGTGACTGAAACAGATGCTAGACACAGGTGGTGACTGAAACAGATGCTAGACACAGGTGGTGACTGAAACAGATGCTAGACACAGGTGGTGACTGAAACAGATGATAGACACAGGTGGTGACTGAAACAGATGATAGACACAGGTGGTGAGTGAAACGTGTTGACTGAAGCAGGTGTTGACCGAAACATGTGCATACTGAAGCAGGTAATGAATGACATTGCTGGTAGACTAAAAAAGCTGGCAATGCAAGCAGATGGTTACCTATATGTGGTAATTTAAACAGATGGTTATTATTATTATAATAAAAAAGAAGCGCTAAGCCACAAGGACTATACAGGAAACAGATGGTAAATGAAGAATGAGGAAAAAAACATGTGGTTATGTCTATGGCTACAGTGCAGAGCTACGCCGAATTCCTAGAATACTTCCATTAGGCATATGATTATTATGTGCATACATAAGTTTCATAAGATCATGATATAAGTGAAAATTAAACTCAAAAAAAGGCAAATAACATGAAATATTTTTGGCTGGAGGAGGAGGAGCAGGTCAGCCTTCCCGGTCGACGACCCAGCCCCTGGAACATGAGTCAAGTGAGAACCAAAGATCCCCATTATTTCCTCGCTTGTAAAGAAAATCTTGTGTGAATGCTTGGAGATGAGCAAGAGATATTTACTGGGAAGGTATATAACGGATTGATTGTAATTTGATTTTGGGAATGTTTTTTAATATGTGTTGGAAGAGGACTATGGATACTTGGCAAACAGCTGATTATGGCAGTCTTCCTACTGAACCACTGCAAGTTTAATGGCTGTGGGTTGTCATTTCCCAACCTATTAGAGCTTATTCAACACATCGAGGAGACACATATAGGTACAGTGTACCCGGATATGCTTTCATTGGAGCCCTAAATGGGCGTAATAGGCAGTAAATGGTGATTGTTGTCATTGCCCCTCCCTTCCCCATCCCACCTCTGGATTTGTTTACATTTGTGACTCAGAAAATGGGTTACGCCCCTGTAAGGTTATTGCGTCTTGCTCTCCTCTTGCAATTTTCACTCTCATTATTAGATTACCGGGGTCACCCTCTCCTTAAGTGTACAGGTGCTCCAATATGCTTTGCTCTAGGCTCCTGGATTTATTATGAGGCGTTTGTGGCCGTGTTGTTAATGTTTATATGTGGTGAAAGTCATGCAACTTGCCTGGTTGTGTACCGCAGATTATTATTATTGTATTTAGGGAGAAGCGCTAAGCCTGTATGGGTCATACAGCACCTGGGGGAATGGGAGGTAACCTGATTTGATTCTAGGAAGTGGAGGACAATTCCAATTCCTTGAATCAAGAGGCCCCTCACCAACATCAAGGAACTTTCCTTGAGAGGTGTCAACGTGAAAGAGAAGATTAATAAAAATTTAAATGTATTTTTATTTTTTTTTTACTTATTTTATATAGTGGACTGGTATTACTTAACATTCCTATGTTCTTATAAGTGCCATGATAAACAAAATTGGAGATACCTGGAGAGGGTTTCGGGGGATCAATTCCCCCACGTCCCGGTCTGTGACCAGCCAATAACTTGAAACATGAAGTTTATAGCTTGTGTAATTAAATATTGAGAGCATCAGAAATAGCTAAGGGCTCGTAAATGAAATTGAGAAAAATCGTATGCTACACTGGTACAGCATATAATAGCCTTAAGGTAGAGGAATGGAAGAATATCAACAAAAGCTTTTCAGAATGTATATTAGGCAAAAAATTTTTTGTTTTAAGTAATGGTATGTGTGTGCATTACAAAAAGCATAGAGCTACAAAAGGTTAAGAAGAGAAAAAGGCTTAGTAAGATGAGCTACAAAATGTGCTCAATTTGTCTATATTCTGTAAAATTTTACACCTAGACTTCTTTTTTAAAATACATTTTGGTCACTGTGATTGCAAGCAGTATTCCTGGCTAATAATGTCCACTACATTTATATGGTGTGGGAGGAATGTAATTGTAAGTTCCAGGGTTATGGGTAGGGTGTAAAAGTAAGTTTTAGGAGTGTTGGAGTAAGCTGTATGGGTAAGGGATGAGTATAGAGGTATGTATGTGAGAGAGTTGTAAGAGTTGGGAAGATGTACAGAAGTATGCTATATGCATATAGGTTGGATATGTAAGGTGGTGAATAACCATCCCAGAAGCTTGAACTTAACCCATGAAGAGTTAATTATGTAGGCCCAGATGCTGTAACTTGATTACAAGAGGGCTTGAAGCTGGAGTCCAACACCCTTAGTAGGCCTAGGAACTGGAGCTCAAAACCCTAAAGAGGTGGCAGGCTCAGAAACTGGAATGCAGGTAGATGAGTTATGGGACCAGGAGCTGTAATTTTGCACCTTCAAGAGCCCCAGAAGCTGGTATTGCACCCTCCATCCACAGCCTAAGTTGGAGATGGTTAGGAAAGGACTTTTTCAAGATATCTATTAGAGGTGCAAGAACCAGGAACTGGACCTACATATCCTCAGCAAAACAAGTGGTGCAGCTCAGCATCCTTAAGTTCAGTCAAACTGAAAAGCTGGAGCTCAACTTCCTCAGGGATAGCCATAAAAGTTGTGGAGTCAGGAGTTATATTTCAACAATCAAAAGACTTGAGCTGGAATTAAACCCCTTTAAACATAGTTTTAAATGGTTAGAAAAAGGCATTCTTAATATATTTATTGAAGCTTAATGGTTTCTTCCAACTTTTATTGTGTTTTTGGGATTTGCTTTCCAGCTCTTGGACCCCCACTTCTTGTAATGAATCTCTAACCCATAGACTTGTCATATTTACACTTAAAAATTAAGTACTGTATGTATGGAGTTTGCATTCAATATCTAAAATCATAGTCTCCACTGGCTCATCACCCATATGCTGAAATGTTATTTTTTTTTAAATATTTGGGTCATTTTGTGTAATAAGTTTTGTACTGCATTGTATTTTATATGGTACAGAATTCACAAATATGTACTAAACCTGCATGGATATTACATTTAAATTAATTTTTCTTATATCCTTTTTATTTTTGGTAAATCTTTCATTAAAGCAAATAATTTTTTCTTTTTCAGAAACCATTACAGATCCAGCAACAGAAGCTGTGCAAGAAACCCAGCAGCCATCATGCCTTCCCTTGTCATCTGTCTTGCGGTTCTTCAGCCCAAGTGCCCCTCGAGCTACTCCTCGCAAGCACCCACTTAGCAGTAAGACCCCTGGGGGTCCTCAGTCTAAAATTCCCAAATTATCTCATTCAAAATCGTCTGGATCATCTTCTGGAAAGCGTACAAATAGCAAGTCTCCACCACCTAACCTTACTACTAATACAAATAATGGGAGTTCACTGCATCTTTCTTCACTCCTTAATTCACCAGGCAAGGTGAGTTATTTCCATATATTATAACTATTACTGTACTCTGAATTGATGATCTGCATGCTGAATGAAATGAAAGCACTTGTTACCAGACATGCTTTTGTTGGATCTTTCATTAAAAATATTGATTTACTGTATTACTGACTTAAAATTTAGCACAGTTGTATTGTTTTTAGTGGATTATACAGGGTTTTACTGGCATTTTGTGCTTGGAATGGGTGTTAATCATACCAAGGTTCAGAACTGGGTCTCTGCCTAGAATGTGACCAATTATTCTTGGTTATATTTATATTATCTGAGGGTAAAATTTTATTTTCTTGTGTGATGACCTAAAAATGTAGGGAAAATCTTACGTAAGAGAGGCCTAGGGATGTGATAAGTGAAAAGAGGAAAGGTTTCTTTAGTGATTGGAATTCTATAGAGTTTATTTTGTATTTATTTTTCTTTTAATTTTATGCAAGAATGGCCAAATTATTGACTTCATTGCACATTGTAGGGTAGTTCTGACAGTTAAATGGGCAGTTTCTTGTGCTCAGTTGATAGAACAAAAGCCTTACAAGTAAATATTTTTTTTTTATTAACACGTCGGCCATTTCCCACCAAGGCAGGGTGGCCCGAAAAAGAAAAACTTTCATCATCATTCACTCCATCACTGTCTTGCCAGAGGCATGCCTACACTATAGTTATAAAACTGCAACATTAACACCCTTCCTTCAGAGTGCAGACACTGTACTTCCCATCTCCAGGACTCAAGTCCGGCCTGCTGGTTTCCCTGAATCCCTTCGTAAATGTTACCTTGCTTACACTCCAACAGCACCTCAAGTCCTAAAAACCATTTGTCTCCATTTGTTTCTGTCTAACATGCTCACACACACTTGCTGGAAGTCCAAGCCCCTCATACAGAAAACCTCATTTACCTCCACCCTTTCCTAGGCTGACCCCTTCCCTCCTCTCCAGATTTGTATACTCTCAAAGTCATTCTATTTCATTCAATCCTCTCTACATGTCCAAACCATCTCAGTAACCCCTCAGCCCTCTGGATAAGAGTTTTGGTAATCCCACACCACCTCCTAATCTCCAAACTAGAGATTCTCTGCATTATATTCACACCACACATTGCCCTCAGACATGACATCTCCACTTCCTCCAGCCTTCTCTCTAGTGCAACATTCACAACCCATGCCTCATACAAGAGCGTTGGTATAACTATACTCTCATATATTCCCCTCTTTGCTTTCGTTGATAAAGTTCTTTGTCTCCACAGATCCCTCGGTGCACCACTAACCTTTTTCTCCTCGTCAGTTCTATGATTCACCTCATCCTTCATAGACCCATCTATTGACATGTCCACTCCCAAATATCTGAACACATTCACCACCTCCATACTTTCTCCCTCCAATCTGATATCCAGTCTTCCATTACTTAATTTTTTTTGTTATCCTCATCACCTTGCTCTTTCCTGTATTCACTTTTAACTTCCTTCTTTTACATACCCTACCAAACTCATCAACCAACATCTGCAACTTCTCTTCAGAATCTCCCAATTGCACAGTCATCAGCAAAGAGCAACTGTGACAACTCCCACTTTGTGTTAGATTCTTTATCTTTTAACCCCTTACAAATGAAATAGATAGGAATTGGCTTAAAATAGGACTCAAAGTGAGCAAAATCACCAATGTGTAAATTGCACCTAGACCATTAACTTTGCACCTGCATCCAGTACCCCTGCACCCTTCCCTGCCCTGCTGCACTATGACCCTTGTAGGTTTAGCACTTCTCTTTGATTATAATAATTTGCACCTGCATAATTCCATAAGTTTTTCATTAAATTCACCTTTTTGGTGCCATTATTTTCATAAATAGATTCCTCGTAATTGAGAAGATAATTTTTTTTTTAACTGTAACACTGTCGAATCTTTTAATTACAGGGGTTGTGACAGTGATGGGGTTAAAACCAAACAAGTCACCTGGCCCTGACTGTTTTTAAGGGCTCTGAAATGTTAGGATGAAATTAGTAAACCATTTACATAGTCTTTTTAACAGATCACAACAAATGCATATTAGATCAAATAAATAAGTAATGGCAAATGTGATACCCATTTATGTACAAAGCAGGTGATTGGTCCTTAACTGCAAATTGTAGACCAATTAGCTTAACCTCAGTTGCAGGATGTTGATGAAATCAATATATGTAGACAGAATTAAAATTCACTTTGAAAGATATAATTTAATAATGAATCTCAGCATGATTTTACAAAGGGGCATTTACACCTTATAAATTTACTAACCTTTGTCATTAAGGCATTTGAGGCTTTAGACCAAGATAATGAGTGCATGATTATGCAGTGTATGTTGATTACAGTAAGGAATATTATAGTTTCACACAGGAGACTGTTGAAGAAAGTAGGAGTCCATAGAATAGGTGTAGACATTATCTCCAAGGTTAAGGCATAGTTGATCAGTAGGCAACAGTTTACATAAATGAAAAGAAATTAAAAATGGGACCTATTACAAGTGGTCTTCCACAGGAGCTAGTATTTGGGAATGAATAGCAACATTAGCAAGTTTGCCGATGACACTGAAATAGGTTGTCAAATAAATTCTGAGGACACTAGAGACCTAGAGGATGATCTAGCATGTATGTATAACCTAAATAATGTACATCTCATTCACACTGAATGCAAAAAAGACTTAAGAGTTTTTGTTAGCAATAATCTGAAGACAAAACAATAATGAATAAGTTTTTTGCAATAAAGCTAACAGAATTCTTGACTTCTTATCAAGAGGGATTAATAATAAGTCTTTTGGTTATACTTTCAACTTTATATATCCTTGGGAAGGCCTCATTTAGATAATGGTGCTTGCTTCTGGTCTTCATACTACAGAATGGGCATACTGTAAGTGCACTGGAAAATATAGATCCTTTATTTTGGAAATCTTTCCCATGAAGGTAGACTCCACTGAATTTGTATTATCTTGAAAGGTGTATTATTATTATTATAGTGGAACCTTGGTTTTTGTATGCCCCAGTTTTCGTAGAATTTGGTTTTCGATGACTCTTTTCGTCAAAATTTTGTCCCAGTTTTCATACATCCACTCAGTTTTCGTAGAGTTGAAAATGGTCTGTACCAAATGTGTCCGCATGACTCGGTCACTCAAGCGCCCACACAAAGCATCCCATGCATTCTTGACTCAGTCTGTCTTTGTTTCTCATTGAGTGAGCATCACTCCATGCGTTCATCTGAAACATTTTGTAATAATCCATTGTTTTTTGTGCTTGGTTATTGAGTGCTACTGCTAAATAAACCACCATGGAGACAAAGAAAGTTCCGAATGTGCCTTCTTCAGTGATTAAGGACGTGTGCAAAGTGGAGTGAGTTGCAAAGTTTTGTGGAGAAATATCACCCTAACAAAGCTGTTGCAAGCCATGTCTGCAACATGCTCAATGAAAATGCCTTGTCCCATTTTAGGCAAATCTTAAAGGGATGCCAGAAACAGACCTCTCTGGACATATTTTTTGTGCAATAGGGGTCGTGACTCAAGCTGGTCCTAGTGCCATTAAAAAGACAAAGAAGGGAAGAAACCCCCCAGATGGGCCTTGTTTACCTGAAGTCCTTATGGATGGGAATTCCCCTTCCAAACAATAACCTCTCCTCTTCTCTCTCCCCTCCTCGCCATCTTCCATACACCAACAAAGAGTCTTCAATAAAGGTAAAGGTGATGTTATATGTTCATTCATCCATTTCATTAGTAATTTATATTTATTTCTCATTGTTTTCTGCATGTAAAACTATAGTTATTCTCCATAAAATGTATTTTTTGTTAATATGTTTGGGTGTCTGGAACGGATAAATTGGATTTGCATTGTTTCTTATGGTAAATATTGCTTCAGTTTTCGTCCGACTTTTTAGAATGGATTAATCTTGAAAACTGAGGTTCCACTGTATTATGATCATGAGGGAGCTCTAAACCCATAGGGATTATACAGCGCCTTTGGTGGGGGGAGGTTATGGAAGGTATTCAGGCTCAATTCAGGGAACTGGAGCACAGATCCAAGTTCCTAGATCAAGAGCCCCTCACCACAATAAGGAACCTCCCTTGAAGAGTTGAAAGACATAGAATTAGAGGCTATGCCTGAAGTCTACAAATGAAAAGCAGGATTAAATAAGGGGATATAAATAATGCGTTGAAAACATCTAGTCAATTGGTTCAAGTTTGACAAATTTAGATTTAGAAGGGATATAGGAAAGCATTAGTTTGGCAGTAGAGTTGTGGATGAGTGAAACATACTCCCTAGTATCATCACTGAGGTGAGAACCTTGGGTATTTCTGAAAATAGGTTGGCCAGGTACTTGAGTGGGTTGAGATGGGTGTGTGGGGGACCTGCCTAGCATGGGCTAGTAGGCCTGCTGTAGTGTTTCTCCATTCTTTCTTCCTTCTTATTCTGTATGTGGCTACAAGGGAAGACAGTTAATGCACAAAAGCAAAGGCCTAACTTCTCTGCCTCACTGTTTGAAAAAAACTTTCCAGTCTTTCAGTGCCCTTTTTTTTTTTATTTTTTGTTAATTTAAAATTGTGGCCTCTTGTTTTTTTTGTGTATGGTACTATTTTTTTCTGTTTTCACGTTATTTCATGACTAGTTTCCATTAAACATATTATGGTGGCATGACATGGTTAACTCCAGAGTAGAAATACCAGTAAAACCCAATACATGTATACATAATAAATTCAACTGCAGAGTTTTAGATACAAAGGTAGGAATGCTAAAGGCACTTTTAAAAAATATAAGAAAGAAGTATGTTGCTAAGAACATATCCTTGTGAACCATTTATCAGGGATCAGAGATTCAACAACTCAGGGTTTTTGTTGTTGCAGGAAACCTTAAATTAAAATAGGCAATGAGCCAATGCAGTCCATATGAAATAAGTTCTCTTAAGGATCATGTGACAACAAGTTGCACCACAGGCCATTTCAATGCTAAAAAAAATAGATTGCTAACATCTCAT